GATTAATCCGCACAAAGCAACTGGCCCAGACAACATCCCCGGAAAAGTGTTGAAGGAATGTGCTGATCAGCACTGCGAAGTGCTGGCAGACATCATTAACGCCTCACTTACCCTAGAGACAGTTCCCACCTGCCTGAAGACTGCCACCATCATCCCAGTCCCAAAAAGCTCTACAGTGACTGGTCTGAATGACTATCGGCCAGTGGCCCTAACCCCGATAGTTGCTAAATGCTTCGAAAAACTGGTCATGACTCACATCAAAACAACCATCAACATCAACGAGGACCCTCATCAGTATGCATACCGTGAGAACCGATCAACAGAGGATGCCATCTCCTCTGTGGTCCACACTGCGCTCAACCACCTGGAGCAGAAAAACTCTTACGTCCGTATGCTCTTTGTGGACTTCACATCCACCTTCAACACCATGATCCCCCAAACCCTGATGGACAAACTATTCACACTAGGACTAAGCCCCTCCATTTGCAACTGGGTACTAGACTTCTTAACAAACAGACCACAGTTAGTGAGTATCCAAAACCTCTCCTCCTCCACCATAAACCTCAGCACTGGCTCTCCTCAGGAATGTGTGTTGAGCCTCCTCCTGTTTACTCTGCTCACATATGATTGTGCAGCTACCCATCCAGGCTGTCACATTGTAAAGTTTGCAGATGATACAGCGGTGGTGGGATGCATCACAAACAATGATGAGTCCAGCTACAGGCAAGAGGTGGAACACCTGGAGAGCTAGTGCAAAGAGAATAACCTTCACATCAATGTGAAGAAGACAAAGGAGATGATTGTGGACTTCAGAAGGAACAAAAACATCTACACTCCCCTGAACATAAGAGGATCTGCGGTGGAAGTGGTCTCCAGCTATAAGTACTTGGGTGTACACATGAATGACAACCTCAGCTGGAGCAACAACACCACCAGCCTGATCAAGAAAGCTCATCAGAGACTCTACTTCCTCAGACGGCTGAGGCGAGCTGGTCTGGGAAGCTCAGTCCTCACCTCCTTCTACAGGTGTGCAGTGGAGAGCATCCTGTGCTCCAGCATCAACGTGGGGCATGGAGGCTGCACAATTGCAGAAAAAAAAGCTTTGCAGAGAGTGGTGAAGGCTGCACAGAAGACTGGCGGAGTCAGCCTCCCCACCATCACAGACATCTACACCTCTAGATGCAGGAAGAGGGCTACCTGCATCATGAAGGACCTCACTCACCCAGCACACACACTTTTTGCCCCACTCCCCTCAGGAAGAAGGTTGAGGAGCATTAAGTGTAGAACCACTAGACTGAGGAACAGCTTCTACCCTGAGGCTGTTAGACTCATGAATCTCTAACTAGAATAATCACTGTGAAAAAACACATGTTGCTGCTGATCTGTTTCATGTTGCTGCTGATCTGTTTCATGTTGCTGCTGATCTGTTTAAATGTTGATGTGTTCATGAGTGCACATCCGCTCACACAGACTCATGTTCATGTTTGTGCTGATGTTCAATGTTTTTATGTTATGAATGCTTAGTGTATAATTAGTTGATGTTTTTCTTAGTTCATATCTTAGATGTTATTACTGTTTTTCTTATACATTTTATTGTTGGATGTAACTGGGACCCTGTGTACATAATTTCGCTCCACCACATGTACCACATGAGGTGCGAATGACAATAAAGAAACTCTGACTCTGACTCTGAGAAGGTAATGCCGAGCTCTGTAGCAGCCAATAATAATAATAATAATAATAATAATAATAATAATAATAAACTTTATTTCTATAGCACCTTCCAACAACGCCTTGCATTGACCAAGGTGCTTCACAAGACAAAACAAGATTAAACACAGGACACAATAAATCAGTGCAAATTAAAAACACAGCGAGAATAAAAGAAGGTAAAAGAGATAAAATAAATAAATAAATACTAAATTCTAAACTACTAAAAGTTAAACATTAAAAGCCCTTTTAAATAAGTATGTATAGCCAAGCCCAGAGCCGGAGGCGACTGGGATCAGGATGCAGGATCTGACCCCCCAACTGTGACAGGAGGTTCTTCCTGTGGGGTAGAGGCATTGGAAAGTTGCAACAGAGTCTGTGCAGCAGTGGAAACCAAGTTCTCTCGGGCAAGAGGGGAGCCACTAGAAGGACTTAATGTCCCTCTTGAAGGACTCTCAGGAGTGTTGGGCCTATCAGGGGAAGCGGCGGAAAAGCATACAGCAGCACCCTGGGCCAGTCATGTGCCAGTGCGTCCTGACCCAGGGGACTGGCACTGCCTGCCAGTGAGAACCAAAGCGGGCAGTGTGTCGTCTCTTGAGATACAAACAGGTCCATAGCTGCATTGCGGTACCTCTCCCAAATTACCCTCACCACCTCCGGATGGAGCCTCCACTCCCCAGGTGGTGGGCGGCCCCAAGATAGAAAATTGGCCAGCCCGTTCTTCACTCCTGGAATGTGGGCTGTCCTCAGGCTAGCAAAGAGGGGGGCTGCCCAAAGTAAGATCTTCTGGGTCAGCAGCCGCAATGTCAGCGACCGTGTTCCCCTTGATGGTTGACATGAAAAACCACAGAAGTATTGTCAGAACGCACCAGGACATGATTCCCGCGCAAGCCTGGGAGGAAGTGTTTTAGTGCCAGCTGCACAGTGTCCAGCTCCAAGGCATTGATGTGCCTGGCTTTTTGATGTGGAGATCACGTTCCTTGGGTAATCTTTTGCTGCCCAGATGCCCCCCAACCTGTGGTGGATGCATCGGTACAAACAACCTCCCTCCGAGACGGCAGAGAGCCCAGTGGGACCCTTTTCACCATAAACACTGCATCTCACCACTGAGCCAGTGACATGAGGTATTGAGGGGACACCAGCAACCTCTTGCGTCGGTGCACTGCACAAGTCGGATCCAGCCGCAGGCTGTTGAGTCACATCTGTAGAGGGTGCGGAGATGACAGCCCCAGAGGTACCACCCTGGAGGCAGCAGTCAGCTTGCCTAACAGGCGAAGGTACGCAATGAAAGGGGGTGCACAGTCGGGCAGGAAGGCGGGCAGCATCTGCAGAATCCCGCTGACACGCTGTGGTGATGGGCAAGCCACCATAGTGAGGGAGTTCATCCTAGTTCCCAGGAACATGACCTCCTGAGAGGGAATTAGGTTGCTCTTCTGCCAGTTCACATGAAGACCTAATAGGTCTATATGATCGAGCACCATCTATGTGTCCGCAGCTGCTTGAGCTTGTGTTGGCGCACAGATCAGCCAATCGTCCAAGTAGGGCAGGATCTTCAACCCCTTGACCTGCAGAGGGTACAGGGCTGCTGCAACACACCAGTTGAACACATGGGGGGACAGAAAAAGACAGAATGGACAAACTCTGAATTGAAAATGCTTGCCCTGAAATGCAACGTGGAGAAACTGCCAATGGTGCTGTGCAATCGGTACATGAAAGTATGGATCCTTCAAGTCGACCAAGGTAAACCAGTCGCCTGGAGAGACTGCCTGGAGCGCATCTCTGATGCTCAACATGTGGAAAGGAATAGTTTTTAAAAACACATTCAGAACTCTCGGGTCCAAAATTGGCCATAGCCCACCAGTCTTTTTTGGGACAAAAAAAAATACTTTGAGTAAAAGCCCCATGAATCCCGCAGAGGGTCAACAGGCACTATAGCAGCCTTGGCCAGCAAGGCGTGTATTTCGTGGTTTAGTACCTGAGCTTTCACCTGGTCGCGAATGACCGTCATTCTGACCTGACCAGGAATGAGAGGGCGGTGGCGGAACTGTAGCACGTAGACAGATAAATCTGGAAAACAAAAGACGACTCGAGCAAACAATTCACTCGCGCTACCAACAGACAAACGGGAAGTGACACAATACGTCTCACCACGAATGTGCAATGTTACCAGCTCCAACCAGCATTTTATTAAGGTATGAAACCTTGTTTACTTATATTTGTAACCCAGTAAAGTTAAGAGTGAGTGGGGGTGCTGAGTGTTTTGGATAACACTCTTATACTTTTATTTCGGTAAGCACATGCATTTCTGGTTACCGTTATGTTTACTACTGTGCTAAATTGTAATGAGCAGTTGGAGTAGAGCCGATGGAGTAGAGTCGTTGTCTGTGCAATAATAAAGACAGTGACAACAGCCTAAAAGGATATCCGAGTGGTTTTGCTTATTATCCATCCTCACGAAGAAGAGCTGCGAAACTCTACTAAACCCTTAACACAGTGTAAACTCATTTTAAATTCTACAATGTTCCAGGGAAGACAGAGCTTGACAACAGCAGTTGTTTTATTTATTATCCTTTATTTAACCAGGCAAATCCCATTGAGATGACAGATCTCTTTTGCAAGGGAGGCCTGGGCCTGAAGGTAACCATGTCTCAGTGAAACATATAACACTGCATCACCGATACAGGGGTCCTTGTTAGGGCTTGGAGTTCATCCAACTTTTTTCCCAGTTATCACATATTGCCCATCATGATTGATGGAAAAGATGGTTTGAACTTCATTCTCCTCTCCTTCTTTGCTCCTGCTCTGCATCCACAATGCCTCCTTTTCAACTCATTTGATATGTGGGGCTGTAGTTGAGATATTTTTTCAGCTTTTGAGATGTTAATCAGCTGCTCCCGGTTGTTAAAAAAACAAAACACCTTGTTGTTATGGTCACACATCATAACAAATGTCCAAAAGCAAAGATGTTTCAGTAAAAACCGTTCCAGCTGCACATCATCTGACACCAGAGGAAATAATCATCCAAAAAAGCAATTTATAAAAAAAAAGAAAAAAGAGGAATTATTTTCAAAAGCAATATCTCAGAATTAATCTAACAGAGCTATTCCAACATGCAGACACCTTGAGCGGCACAATTCTAGAATTAACTAGGACTCATCAGTCACAGGTTTGGTTCTTACTTCAGAAAAAGTTGAGACTTGGCCTCCATTAGTTCTACTCCATCACCCTCCTCTGGCTGCAGAGGGAGACCTGCCAGCAGGGATACCACAGCTTCCATACTGGCCTGGTCCAAGTCTCTGCACAAAAAAACCCATCATCTTTAAAATGGAGGCTCACTCAGAAGAGCCTATTAGTAAAATATATAAGAAGCTGCACCTCAACAAGCACTTGATATCATCATCAGTAACTTGGTTGGAAGTTCCCATCACCCAGTCTGTCAGGTACTCCACCATCTTATTCCTAAAAAAATATGAGTGAAACCTTTCAAAATAGGCTGCGAAGGCAGAAGTAGTGCAGACCTTTGGTGTCACAAAGCTGTAAACAATTTAAGAAATTGCTGAACTGACCTGAACTTCATCTCCTGGCAGAAAGACAGGTCATCTCGTCTCTCCATCATCACTTCAACTAGCTGGCACAGTTTGGTTTTGATCTGGATCTCAGGGACTAAAGTACCCAAGATACGCACATACCTGAAAGAAAAGAACAAGTACACCCAGAACTAGGACACAGCAGTAACTGTGTGTGTTTCAAATGTCTGATCTAATCAAACAATATTAAGATCAGTTGGTGCTTTTCATTTCCCATTTGTAAACTTGCTGCAGAGCTTCACTAAACACAAAACAGGCCTTAAGCTTCAGCTGCTCCTCTACCATTATCCAAGGAAGCTGACGAACGGAGCCACCTGCCATAAAGACGATGGCATTAAAAATTTAATACATGTCTGTACATTAATGCACAACAGGGGAAACACCAAAGCCCATACATCATTACCCCTTCCTCCCACATCAAACCCCAACCTCTCAAGACTTTTGTATCTAAAATTTAACTTTGTATTAAATGTTAATGCTTTCTGACAAACATCATTAGCATCCACACGTCTCCAACTAGCAGAGGGCACCGCTGTGAAAGTGAAAACACATGTCTCTTGAATCACTCTCTCAGGTAAAACTTGATGTTTTGTGTGTGCAAGTTTTTAGTGAACCTGAAGTTAAGTTTTTTTCCCCCACATTTCAGTATTTTAATAACCATTTAAAATAATCCCCTTCCCCCTTTAATTTTAGAATCTTAAGTATCCCAAATAATTTTACAACCCACTACGCACTAAAGAAAGCTATTGCAGTAACTACCTACTACTGATCCA